CTACATACTATTTCGAGTATAATCATCTTCACCAATATATTTATGTAATAAACGGTGTTTCCAAATCCCATGCGTCAATGGTAGCCTGCCCAGAGGCCGTTACCAACTAAACGTATTCACCAAGTAATTATAAAACTACTCAACTTAACACATTTCCAGTTTTGACCATATGTACATGCATGGCAGTACGATGGTCCAGACCAACTCACAGTGCTGCTTTCAACAGAGACGTCTTTTGAGTGTGAACCTTCTTTTGTCGCTGTTTTGCGCACCTAACTAAACACATATACTTTTTCTTAAATGCATTTGTTTCTACAACTAATACCCATGTCATTACAGACGTCATGGCTCTTTTTGTATACCATTGGTCACTCATTGGTCAAACCACTGGTCACAGAATTCAAAGACAATCAGAATAAAGAAACAATATAATTCTATGGCATTAACTCTTTCTGAAGACATTAAGACAAGGATACCTCTCTAATCCTAATCCCCACCTGGCACGGCACGCTGCCAGTCCGAGAAAACAATACCCTGACCCTCAGGCCTCATTTCCCTCATCCCCGGGTCTTGATACCTGGCATCTTAACCCCGGATTACCCTTTCTAAACTGACCACTGACTACAGTCTGAGATTCCACAAGATAACATTAACCGCAAATTCTGCATACCGATGAATAGACGATGTCTCTATGCGAGTCGTGTTTGGTTAGGTTTGCTTTTGAACTGGACACGCATCTCATTACCACCTCAGCAGGGGCCCGGGTCCCTATAATAGAGTATGGTAAGATCCTATTATGTGGTCAGTGTTATCTGACCAACTGGACACCTTGTATGTAACGTATAGACCACCTGGGGAGAGGGGTATCTTAATTCATGCTGGACCATTGGGAGTGGTCACTTGGCATGTAAAGGGTCAACTGTGCAAGTCAATGACCATTGGGAAAAGTTAATGCGATGGTATGTGTAACTATGCGGGATAATATACCGTTGACGTTGTTATATGAACATTATCTTCAGACCTGATCTGAAGAGTGATGTCCACTGAGATTCGTGAGCTTTGGTTACAAGGAGCAAACCCTACAAATCTACCGACGCATGCACCGTGCATAGATGAAATGTATTTCAGTTATAGGCGGATGATTCAAGTAAAAGAGTGTTAATTAAGAACTGTGTAACTCGTTTCTTTGCATAACTACTATTTACACATGACGTTTGATGTGGTCGAAGACTGATAACTACGTTGTAAATGGGTACCCGGGAGGTGTATTCCCTATTGACATCATAGGTATACTACTGATTAATTACTTTTCTAACATTTTATCTGAGAATGAACTGAATTATACGTGACTTAGGTTTGTTCATCGCCATCATCATGCTAAATGTAACTATCATTATAATTATCATCCACCTCATCATCACCATAATCGTGCTTATTATTATGTATTTTATTGTAATTATTACCATCAACACATTCATCATCATTATATTTATTATCACTATCATTCAGGCCGCCAGCAGAATGTCTGTGTTGAGGGAAATTATACATACGAAGGCTCCGGGCAATGTAACAGCCTGTTAAAGAGTACTTGCAATGACATCATCCCACTGTGGACTTCGGCATCCTTGTTACAGGAGTGACAGGTGAAGGGGATGGCGTTAACAACACTATTACACCTGGATAATTACCAGGATTGAGAATAAGTAACCGTTACGTCCGTGACAACGTGACAGGATCGCCGTCAAACGTAATCCTGGTACACTGTCATCGCGTCTGAGTGGTTTGTCTTCAGATAAGACACGACACAATGATAACAGGGTTGCTGATAACGACATCGTCTGCATCAACGTGAGTTACGACATCCCCGGGGAGGCGCTGACCGATGACCAGTGTAATCTTTGATTTGAGGGACACTCGGACGACAAGTGGCTCTTGATAAGCCATTTCTGCCTTCGGGAGCAAGTGGAAAATGGCATCGGATTGGTGACTGAATTTCAGTACCGTTATATCAAGCAAGTGTAGAAAATTCCAAAATAAGTACCACTGTGAATTATTTCTTCAGAGAAGCTACAACATACGGTCCTGCGACGTCAGTGACGACGATGCTGTCAAAAACAGATAACAAGAGCTCGGACAACATAATCCTAAATATGTTATGGGGTATTATAGACATGTAGATTACACACCACAAGATATAGATAGAACCAGACCGAACAGTTGCTCTATTCTAACGCGTGTTTAATTCAGAACATATCGAAGCCCAAGCTTCGAAATTCACTCTTGTTTGTTGGCGTCAGTCATAATCATGCCGAATCCCTTTCATCGACAGACGTACGTCTGCATATTCGCTGTAATTCCAGTGTTGATACTATTACCAGCGTCCTTGGGGTGGTATGTGGAGGCGATCAGTCTATGGTGGTGGTAAAACTGGAATTTATTCTCTGCTTGGTTACAATCAAATTAACGCGAAATAGATGACCTTCTCTGAAGTAGAGACCCAGACCAGCCAACCGTCTTCATCTGGTCAAGGGCTGTGAAATGACCCATCTGCTCTTGGCCACAGTACGATAAAATAACCTAAAGCTTAAGTAGTGAAATGGGCCCATTACGTTCGTCCATCTTGAGGCCAATCTCCATGGGATCTGGCCAATGCTTTAATGATTGACAGGGTCCAGTGGACATATTTATGACCCATTCAGTTTGGAAAATATTGATACGAGAGCATGTTGTCGCCGACATAAAACGGCGAGTTATAGCTAATTAAGATATGTTTGGTCTTGAAAATTGCACCCTTCCGTTTGTTCACTATGCAGGTGGACAAAATATTATTGTTCGAGTCTCCGAGGTCAGTGGTCATCAAAGCCTACTCGAGGTCCCACTACGGGTCAGCTGGTCAGACAGCTGAGGCCGGAAAAGCCAATGAAAGGGACGTGTGATTTACATTGTCCTCTCACTATGTTCGCCATTGTCACCTGGCTTGCAATCGACACACACTTGACATGATTGAAGTTTTCTCAATTATTGTTAAAATGGGAATTGGAAGTGATTAGATGCAATCGCTCCCTTTTGACACTACGTTTCAATTTATTATTGAAACGTTTTATAGAAATGAAATGTGTTACACATAAAATATTTAATTATCATTTGATATAATAACAAGTTTAAAACATTTATTATCATTATTAAAAATTAATGCATTGGGAAAAGACATCATTTTTCAAACTAAAATCGATATTTATTGGATGTGATCACATTACAATATGCCATAACATTCGTCTTTATAATTTAGCACCTTCAATTTTAACACCGCCAATATAATTGCTTAGTAAACAAATACTACTATTTTCTAGAATCTTGATTTATGAACATATCTCATTCCTCCGTTTCATATCTGTCAAAATCTTATTGAAACATTAACGATTTAACATAATGTAGATTCAACCATGTCACAAAATGTATACCATACTGGCATATTTTATTTAGGTAGACATATCTGACATAACAAGAAGCATAACTTTGTCATCACCCGAAGTTGGTAGTCCTTTTCATCAGTGTACACATTCTACCCTATATTAATACAGAATGTCAATAGCATGATAATTATGTATATAACATCATACATATACTCTCATAATATTATCGCTGTATACCACACGCCATTCCGCTGGCAATGTGTTTTGAAAGTCATCGGTTTGGGAATGCCGTATATGCTCAGTAAACGACACAAAAACATCTGATTACCTACATCATTTGCTTGTAATTCCATCATCAGCAACCTAAGATGCCACTGTGACAGATGATTCCTATCTCTGACGTTAACAACGTAGTCCTAAAATGTCAGCCGCAGAACAGGCTGAGATGTAGGTTTTAACTATTCATGCCATTTTGATCCCGGTGCAGACATCGCTTTGAATCGTCACTAAATCAGCGTTATTCGTCGCTAGTACTACACCACGAACACTCCCTGCTTAAAGCTTTTTTGACGTACAATGGCGAACATTGCTACATCGGTGCAAACCTCTCAATCTTCAACATGTTAATATCGGGGTCGATACAACAACAAGAGCGTTAAATTGAACAATAAAACAAAACACTTTCTAGACACGTTCAAAACAGTGCGTTAATTGTCAGTGTTTTGTTGTGTACACACAAAGGAATTCCGGTTTGAGTGCTTCAAGGAACAGGGACAGATCGACCATCGGGATCATAATTGTACGGGATTTGACTTCATAAGACGTATCTCTGTTGTAATCAATATGATTCTCTTCACTAAGTCCCCCAACCTCTTTGTTTAGTCTATCGGCGTTCTTACAAAGGCTCGAATATCCCCCAGATCCCCGCGATCCCGAGTTGACGGGAAAATTCTTCACGGAAGTTGCACAGAGTTTATGTAATAGCCGGGTGTCTGTTAACTTTCAGATAAGAGTTTTCATAATGTTTCCGGCTGAATCAATCACGCAAGAGATATACCAGTGCGAACTTCCGTTAAAGGGAAACAAAGTGTAAATAAAAACCCTAACCGTGTTATCATGATTAAACACACGGAAATAACCTTTAAAAAATGTTGTGAAGATAACAGGATTTGTCCGTTTTGCACGAAACGACACTCATCGAATGCGTTTGTTAATACACGTCTTATTAGAAAAAAATAAATATATTCCTGCTTCTAATGTGTTAAAAGGTTTGTATAATTTGATATCGTAAATCGTTACCGTTTAGCGTCTATTGTCCATCCCACATGCTTAATGCCGGGAATTGATTCTACTGCAAATCAAACGCCGCAGGTAGATTTGTCAGAAGAAAGCGTCTTTGCACCTGCCTGACACAAATTACGACACAGGTATTCCACAGATATGACATTACCCCACATCTCAATAAACACATCACACCTCTAATGCAAAGGTAGAACCAAATGTGATGTTCCATCCCACACAGCATCAATCGTAATAGCGTTAAGTCTGTACAGGTGAGATAGGTGTGTTGATCAAAGGAGCACTCACCTCAGCATCAGCAGGAGTCAGTAACATTAACCGGTTCCAGGTAAGACAGCGTCCAGTCGAGAAAAAATACCGTACTAGTCCTTTTTGTACATTTCCGTTGACCACCGCTTCACGTATTTAATCCTTGACTGTCAGTATATCACGCTTCCGCAGTCGAACCAGCGAAGACACAACGGCTGGGATCGCATCAATTTTGCTTTCATCGCTGGGCCCACTCTACGCGATCGGCGTCTCGATATGACTGAGGTATCGATTGAACGAGCGCACAGCGAACGGCGAACCAAACAACGGTTTACTACAAACTGGAGCCCTTCACAAACCACATGGTGCAGGCTTCAATACGGAGGCCTACAAACTGATTTGCCTAGCTTCGCTTGGTTAGCTGGCTCGCGGGGGTAATATCCCTCGTCACGTGACTAGCCCGCTGCCTCCATTCTTCCCTCTTCACAGTAGGGTATAGCGGGGATTATTTCGTTTCGGATGCAGCACCGTTACATTCATATTACCCGCACACAACTATTGATGTTGGGGTTACAGGGTTGTGTGGCGTGGACACGCTTTACAAAACATAAGGACAAGGACAGGGTAAAAGCGTTGTATTCCGAAAGGGTGAACGATGAAGATTTCAGTTATCCCCTCCCCAGACCAGACGCTGGGGCAGATAAGGGGAAGGGGTGATGCAGTCGGGGTGTCTGGCAATTTAACAGGGTAATTACCGTGAAGGAAACTATTAAAATGTTTATCGTCCATGCCCAGGAACCCACTCTATGTCGTAATTAATATAAATGTTTCGGAGCGGTGTTCGGTAGTCCTGTGCTGTTTTGCGGCTACAAAGTTTAAAAGTGTTGTCTTTTGTTCAAAGGGCGTTTACATTGTCCTCGTCGGAAAATTAGCAAATCAAAAATCCTTGATTGAAGATATTAAGATATTTGTCGAGTGAAATGAAACGGTATAAATGCGTAACGAGGCAGGTTGTCTGCTTCCAGTGCTACTGACGTGATGATAATAGGTTGTAGCATCAATTATCATCTATTTATTTTCATCAGCGAGACGTGGTTATTCAATTTCCGAATGTAAAGCCATTTAACAGACAAAGAACGCGTCACTGTCATTGTTCAGAGAAAAGTAGTCATATTTTGTAAAAGTGTTTATAAGGAGATAATTTCTTCAAAAGTTCGCGTTGTAATTTGGTTAAGTCCAGGACTGGTTACGAGACAATGACACTTTTGTTCGTAATTATTTTGGCTTTGTTCATAGGAATGACTTGATTAGGGTGTTTTCCATTAACATGTGTCAGTTGTCAGATTATATTACTTATCTGTCTATCAGTCAAGACTCAACTATTTGTCCGTCTATGTTCTTACATTCATCCATACCTCCCTCTCTCCATCTCTCAATCTCACTTCACTATTATTACTCTTCAGACCCACCCCTTACCAATAACGTCAATATTCAATTTTTCTTCATTTCCAATGGGTTCATCTATCAACTTCCATCCATCTATTAACAGATCAGTCTTACATACCAACCACCAATCCACCCACCCTCACATTTTACTCATTCACACACTCGTCCAACTACCTACCGTCCACAACTTATCTCTTTTAGGGGGTGGGGTAGCTTAGTGCTTAAAGCGTTCGCTCGTCATACACACATGGGTACAATGTGTGAAGCCCATTTATGGTGTCCCCCGATGTGATATTGCTGGAATATTGCTAAAAGCGGCGTAAAACCATATTCACGCAGCTGTCTATCCTCATAGACATGTACCTGTCTGTCATCCATCTATTCCATTATCTATGTTGTCGATCTTTACATTGCATATGCGAACTGTTTATCTACATTGCGTATATCTTGTGTCAATCTACAGAAATCAACATCAACTGTGTGTCTACGGAAATTTACATTGTATATGTCAACGATATAACAATATACATCAACATCGAAATATATTTTAGTGACTTATATATATATATATCAGTGACTTTTTTGAGTGGCATTTTAGAAGTTGGGAAGTACAATATAGAACAAACTTTATGGATAACAACTTCTTTTTATTCGTGAGTGCGACATTATGCTTGACAACGGTACAAGAATCTGTATTGAAACGTCGCACTCACGAATAAAAAGAAGTTGTTATCCATAAAGTTTGTTCTATATATCAGTGGTATATCTACGGACATCCATATTGTTTATATCAAGAGGATATCTTCGAATATATACTGTATATATACCAACAGTATATCTGTATAATACTGTATACATCACAAGTACATTTCAGCACATCTTTATCGTGTATATCAAAGTATAATCTACGAACATCTGCATTGTGTACATCAGCGATTTATTTGAGGACATTTACATGTTACATACCAACGGCGTATCTAAAGTGTATAAGTGAGTGAGAGTGAGTTTAGTTTTACGCCGCTTTTAGCAATATCCCAGCAACATCACGGCGGGGGACACCAGAAATGGGCTTCACACATTGTACCCATGTGGGTAATCGAACCCGGGTCTTCGGCATGACGAGCGAACGCCTTAACCTCTAGGCTACCCTACCGCCCCTAAAGTGTATAAATCAACGGTATATCGACAATCCTTCAACAATGTTTAACTACATCGTAAAATGTTAATATGGTATATGTGAGCATCGTTTCTAAGCAAGCTGTGTATATCTCTATAGTAAAATGATTGGACTTACCCACGTCGCCTCTGTTAAACTTTCGATACATCACTGTGTGCATGCAGGTACAAAGAAGTTTGGACAGAAATATACACGTTATTTGTCTATAGATTTCATGATATCTGAATAATACATCGCCAATGAAATGTGATACAGCTACGTCGTTTATAATTCAATGTAGTCAAGATACTGCCGCCTCCGTGCTGCCGAGGTTGCCACCGACGTAAACCAGCGTGCTCGACATTAACCATATTTAATTACCAATCAATATGTTCAATAAATTAGAACCTATGTACACACTAGCCACATTACACATTGATAGATACAAGTATCACGTCGAGGAATTATTATGATTGAAATCGATCGAAACTGTATAAAACATCTCTTGAAAGTTTGTTGCCTCTTTGCTCATTAGCCTACTATTATATCGAGAAGCAAACACACGTGCCTAAAACAGCTTTAGCCACCTAAATAGGATTTATTGGCTATAGTCGTGTCAGAAAACCGCCGTAGGTATAAAATGATTGTAATTTGCCGAGTTAGTGTTTGTTTAGTTTTTGTTTGTTATGATTTACTAGCGCCTTCTCCCCACTATTTAATCTCACATAAATCGCTTCAGTGATTGGGAAAATATTTACCCCGCTGATTAAGGAGTCGGCAACAAAGCTGGACATGGATCGGTTTGTAAGGTTTAACAAGGGTGATGTTATTTCCCCAGGGTGGAACTTACAATGGGGTATTTCTCATTAGCGTCTTAAGAACTAGTCAGGTCGATATAACAGTAAAAATGCCCCAATTAAATTATTTAAAAACGAAATATGACTTTTTCGTGTGCATCGCAGTAAACTTTGAGAGATATGCTTTAGGCGATATGATAAAACACATCAGCCCCTCTCAACACCTTCATCCCCCCTCGACCAACACCTCCCCACCTCCCTGGATTATATGATTTAGGTTTTAATCTCTCAAGGGATTAAGCTACCGCAGTGCGAGGTAAACACAGTTGTACCATGCAGAGGTGGCGACAGAAACGTTCGTGAAAGAACTCTAATGAATTGACAAAGATTGCCGCTTAGCTCTAGGTGCAAAAACTGACATTTTTGTCATGTCTGTCAATATTACCTGATCCCGCTGTTTGGAAAAGAGTGTGAAGTTGATCACGTGACCTGACCCCCTCCGTTCTAACACAACCCTTCATGTCTGTAGGTCTGGTGTGAAATCCTGCAGCGTCGGCGCCGTGTCTGGCGAAGCAACAGACAACGTCGGCCACGGTGCGTTTCACTTACATTATTCATTATAATGCATCAAGGTAAGAAGTTTAGAAGGTCCCATACAAGATGAATAATAGACAGAATGTTGGTTTAATTCTAGTATGTGATGGAAAGTGTCTCAAACAGATATGAATTCAGTTAATGCTTTCCTCTTGTTTTCATTTATTATAACCGTTATGAAATCATTAAGACGGAAAGTCAAATATATCTGTGAAATGCAAACATTATCATTAACAAATCTTATGAAATGTACAAAGTATGAAACACATGTTCCAAAATTGAAACAATATTATTATGTGCCGCAGTCAGACGGAAGTCTGCAGTGAGTGAGATAGTGAGTGAATGAATGAGTTTAGTTTTAGGCCGCTTTTAGCAATATTCCAGCAATATCGCGGCGGGGACATCAGGAATAGGCTTCACACAGTGTATCCATGTGGCAAATCGAACCTGGGTCTTTTGCGTGATGAGCGGACGCTTTAACCACTAGGCTACCCCCACCGTCCCCGGAGGTCTGTAAATAATCGAATAAATGGGTATTCACTGTATAGTGTAAATGTATATATTTTCATAACATATTACAACTTTACTCCAACACTTCATAATTCAAAGTATATGGCGGCTACATGTACAATAAATGAACCGATGCAATCAATACAGTTTACATGACTTTTGACGGAATTTAATATTGCCAACGTAATGTTTTGTAATGAGACAGCCATATAACATGACACATTATATAGCAATACAACACTGTACAAACAACGATCTTGCTGTTTAATTTGTACTCACCCTCTGTACTGCCGTCCTATAAGACGAATGGTACACGGTCCGAGTTGAGATATCTTGCGTCGATAGATTGTCACGTCCCGGTAATTGGGTTCGTGTCGTTATGTCAAAAGTACAGTTTAGTTAAGGGCGAGGGAGACTGTGAAACTGGATATCGCGCATTTGATTGACTGAAATGCACATCTCTGATATCGACACGGTTTAACAAAGTCGCATGAGGGTCATAACACGTAGTAATGAATGCGCAACCAATATTTTCTTATGTCAATATTTGCAAACATAATAATATTGTCACTGATTTCTAGGAAATGATAATTTCATAATAGTGATAATGTAATTATAATGTAATTATACTTGTATGAGGAATAAGATTAACTATAATATAATTTTAAAAAATGAAGAGGAAATCGTCGAAAATGTTATGATATTACTAATGTTGAGGTGTTAAGAACACAAACAACGTTGAGGGTTAAAAAATTGAAAATTTTATTTGACGAAGAAGTTGACGACGATGTGATAATAATAATATTTTCCTAACGCACAGATTTTTAAAACACATCCGTCAAAACCCCTTGAAGCGAGTCATGACAGGATCACATATTTCATCAACTTTCAAATCCCTGTTGAAAGTGCTCTTATACACATCGCCACGAAGCAGCCCTTTAA